AACGAATTCTTCCTTTGGATGATTTGATCTGTCACTCTGATGGTAAGAGTACTTACCAGAAATGAATAATGTGAATATAATGAGAATATGTGTATTTTCGATAACATCTTCAAGGGCTAGACAAATTGATATTGATACCATTGGCTGTTTTTCATTTTCAAGAATGTTCATACTTATGTCAACATAAGTCATATATGAATTCTAATCTAAAAGGCAGATTGATTCATGGGATTCATGAAAAGAGTGAAAGGTCCACAAGATCAATCTATTTCCTTTGCGAGGTATTTCCTCACTAGACTATGATAGCATCATCAACTGCCATCTGAAATCTATGTCACTACCTCTCTAGTTGAACTCAAAACAATATAAACAGGAAGAGGCGTAAGAAACATCACTTTTCCGGAAACGAACTAATCTTAACTATCATCCTGGGACACTTGAACTCTATCTGGGATTGATCTGTATACTCTTCCTGAGACAACTATACACAATCTCAATAAATCACTAAAAAGGGTCCTCGAAGGCAGATCTTATCGGTAACAAACCCTTCTTGTAGTAAACTTTGAACATCTATAAAATTGCCTCTATTATCTCAGCTGACGGATATTTTCTTAGGCGCCTTGTGCTGAAATTTCACTAAAATTATAGTAATGGTGGAGAGTTCAATGGGATGCAATAAAGTACTGAAGTTTTTATAGAACATTTTGATAAAATTTGGGTTAGTTATTGATTTAAACAGATTTAATAAAAAAAATAAAGGCAAAACAACAGGGCCGGATAGATCTAGGGTATATATGCATTGACCTGTCAGACGGGGCGAATTTTTTCTGAAATAATAAAAAAGCTTTGAGGTAGTTTTTCAACAGGAAGATCAAATCGAAATTTACCAGCCATATTTTGATTATTTGTTTGTTGTTGTTTGTAGTTTGTTGAAATTATTGTCAATAAGTAGTTGGAGAGAGTCAAAACAATATAGTGGTTGTATAGTGAAATATGTTGCAGTTTTGTAAATTATTTGCTGAAAATCTATAGATTTCTTGGATTCCCAATAAGTACGGGCTAATGTAACTATTTTTTGGGTTTGAAGGCCGTTGAATTTTGGAATTCGCTGGCGAAACTGGCCAGCTTCCCATCCTGAGTTAATATCTCCGATAACTGGATATTACGTCTACATTACGTAACCAGTAAGCGTGTTTCTGTTGCTTTACGCTTTACGAAATTAACCAAAGTCAGGTATAGGTATTAGCACACCAAACTACCTGAGGAGTTTGCTCACCGAGTTAATGTCTCCAAGTCATTGGAGATATTAACCAAAAATGTTGAAACCTTTGAAGAAGCTAGCCACTTGCGCCAGCGAAACGTCAAGAGGAAATTTCAAAAATCCACGGCTTTCAAATCCCAAAAATAGTGACACTGAAAACCTCGACATCTTTAACCATTTTGTCAAGTACGGGCCAGTTTGATCTCATATAATGTAGTACTGATAATCATTTCACAATGAAACAAACTATCTCAAACTCCAGTCCAGTTTTAAAAAGACTCCTTCATCAACAATATTAGAACAACGTATTATTAGAACCTACTCGTTTCGCTCGTACTTCGACGAAAAATTTTAATACACCCCTCAAATTTCTAAATAAGTTCGAACGTCGAGAACAAAGAGGACATAACTGGAATATTTGTCCTCGTAAAACGTGTAATTTTCTGTAATATAAACCAACTGTGTGCCAGATTTCCTTAATAGGGAATGCAGCAGAGGGGTATCTCAATTTTGAGTTTTATAGCTAATGAAGGTACAGATGTCTCATACAAATGAAGCACACAAAAATATTTGTCACACATTTTTGTCTTTTAACAGGCATCAAAAGTATGATGTGTTTTTCTCAAATATATGAAAAATATAGATTTTTTCCACTGCTTACGTTGCAGTTTTGGAAATATTAGATTGTATTCATGGTTTTCACTCAATTTACTTTTATAGAAAACCATAGAACATTCAGAGACATTCACATGATTGAATCAATCGAACTTTTTAAATATAAATGCCTTTTTTCAGATTTTGAAATTTTATTCCATAATATTTCAGCTTCCTTTTCATTAATCTCAGATAGCAGATGGAACTGTTGTATTTTTCCAACGAAGTATCGGAAGTTTACCATCATTCTCTTTCACGAGATTACAAAAAATAATATTTCTTCAAAGACGATGATATTATGAGTATCCCCTGAAATTTTAAGAGATATTATTTCAGTGCCATATTTGAGTGTTTCGGATAAATTTAACAAATGTTCACGCTCAATGCGTAAATATTGTTTCGCATTTATTCACCTGAAAATTCCATAATATCCACAAGCCCTGAAAATATAGATAACACAAAAGTTTTCTTTCAAATAACAAATCGTGGGTTACGGCAATTATTTTCATTTACCTCATCATGGTGAATGAAAACCGAAATGAAATTCTCCAACTTGATTTGATTTGTATCATTGAAATAATATTTTATGATATGGAAGGAAAATGCTTCTCAATTTTTTGTATTTCCATAAATCTTTTTCAAAATTCCCTAGTTTGTATTTCGGAGTATTTATCCTCCACATATACTCCTTTTATATCGACTAAATAAAAGAGAAACATACAAGACCGGATTGTGGTGATGAATGATCATTTCCTTCATTCAAATTAGATGGTGTGAAACGTAAAGTAGATAACAAAATTCTTTCATTGACCTCACTCGGTATATCGAAAAAGATAAAGAATTTCGTAGTTTCTTCAATCATTCTCTATTCAAAGTTCCACATGATAATACTGAACCAATCACTCACTCAAATAACTCAAATCAATCACTCAAATAACATTGTTTTTCAAAGCTGCATGAATAATATTCCAGTGGATTTTATTAATCATTCAATCAAATTATTTTTATACATATTATCCATATTTATCAGGATATTTAAAAAATTAGTCGTTCGACTATGTTGGCCTCATAGCAACAATAGAGGAGAAAAGTGCCATAATTAAGTAAACACTGACTTCAACACAGCTGGTTTTGAGCTTGTCCACATAGAATTGCTCTGAAAAAGAAAGGTATATAGAATGGATTGGAGAAGATATGATAAATGAAGTAGGGATATAATTTCGTTTTCATAACATCGAGAGAGATTTAAATAAGTTTAATTTTCTTTATGTCAAATGTTTTCATTGAAAAAAAAAAGATAATAATACAGTCATAACACCACTCTTTTCAGCAATTTCCTGTATTGATCAGATGAAAAAATGATAAAATCGTTGAACAAAGCGTAACCTACGCCCAACGATTCTATTATTTTGTTTATCTGATCCGAATTATTTTTCAGTTTCCAGTACATTGTCTCCATCATTATTTTTTTTTCTTTCAATAAAACCGTTCAACATAGAGTTTTCTAATTTTGTTACTCAATTCTTCTCATTTTTTTTTTTTTCAGTTAGTGCAAAGTAATATATAATTCGCCATTTTGTAGCTGCGGCCATCTTGAATTTGCATCTTTTCCAAAGTGTTCTACTATTCTACTGGTCGAACCCTGTCATTTGATACTCATATTGAGGTAGTTGTGAAAAAATATGGAATCCGCCATTTTGTAGCTGCCCCCACCTTGAATTTGCATCTTTTTCAAAGTGTACTACTATTCTATCAGTCGAACCCTGTCATTTGATACCCATATTTAAGTAGTTGTGAAAAAATATCTCGGATTCACAATGATGCAGAATTTATTAAATTGTGTTGTCTTCAACTAAATGTGTATATCAAATATCAGACCAATGTGTTAAGAGGAAGGGGGTCAAACTTCGATTACTAAATTTGATCCAAACTAACAAATAGGGCAAGCTGAATAAAACCGTTTAAAAATAACACATTTTTTGACTATCAGTTGGAGCCAGAGTCCAGAAGCGTTGTATTCATGGCCAAATTCTAAATACGTTTCAATTTAACCCATATCTTATCAGTGATACTAAGCTGGCCCATGACTACACCAATTCAAATTAGATTGTCCTCAGCACGAACAATCCTGACCCAGATCATAATTAACTTTGACGTAGGTTTGGAGGTTATTGTTGTTTCTGTTCAACTGAAACTTTTTGTAAAATATATGCAGTCACAATAAAGATCATAGAAATATAAGGGACTAAAATCAAGAAAAAATGACAGTTGAGAAATGACGAAAGTCCAAGAAAGGGTATGTCTGACTACGACATATGTAAATGACAAAAACAATCGTGGTCGTAATCATGACTACTTAGTCAACAAAACACGTGTCAGAAGACAGTTTCTTTATTCTGGTGTAAAAAAAAAAAATTTCAATAGATTCAATTTGCCCTATCCAACCGGTTTCATTGAAAAAAATACGAATTTCGTCTCAGGTTTGACATTAATTTTCGAAGATAATCATCAAAATTTCGACTCGCATGGTTTCAATATCATTTTTGCTCTCGTGGGTAAAAGCACCTCGAATGCATAAACTTATGTTTATCAAACAACCTTCTTGGTTGTATTTGGAATAAAAAATGTATCGAAGATACTTTTGTAAATTAAATATTCAGAATTGTGATTGCCAGCTTTCAATGATGTAGAAGTTTGGAGAATTGAATATTACAAACCCGAAGCGACCTTTTTTCTGAAACTTCATCAGCGATTCAAATAAAATTCTTCTGTTCATTTTGAAGAATATATGTATATCCATTGTAGAACTTATATTCGAATATACCTAAATTATCATTTCGTTAATACAGAATCAGCAAATATTTTCAATGGCAAAATAATTTCCACAACAATCTCTTCATTTTTTCCACTTCCTCTATCTGTACCCGGAATTCTTGCACCACGCTAGCTCCTGAGCTCGTACCTTGAGTGTCGATATTAGCCGAGTTTATGGAATTGCACATTCAAGTTCGTTTAGACATTGTTATATGTGCTCGAAAGATTGTGAGATATACTTGAACTAATGTTTTTTTTCTTGTAATCACAGATCGAAAGCTGTTCGTGGGTATGCTCAGTAAGCAACAAACTGAAGAAGATGTCAGACAACTATTCGCACCCTTTGGAACAATAGAAGAGTGTACAATTTTAAGAGGACCCGACGGAGCTAGTAAAGGTAAGGCGTTCTTATTTCATTCACTGTTTTTCTTCTGCAGAAACTATATCCGTCAAACAAACACAGTTAATATCACTCTTGAAAATATATCATTACAACATTGTCAAGAAGAAACTTATTTTCCATGAAACCTTAAAAACGTGGAAAATATCCGTAGTCTAGGGTTTGGTAGATAAACACTGGGTATACTACTTGATGAAATGCTCTACTAAAACTCAGTTTGAGTAGGCAAGGCAAACCGCATGGCCATTTGGAAATACTTGAACATCCAGAAGATGGCAGTACTACCAACTGTCGAAAGCGCTCGCAGATAATTAATAGAAGATATAAAGCTTAAAATCCTTTTTGTAGAATTTAATATTGAAATACTCAAAATAAAGGAAAATTAGTTGCATCAATCAAAATATAGAAACTTTTTTTTCGAAGAGTTTCA